TCAGTTTCTCTCCATATGAGTCTGGGTCCCCAGAGACTCACCCGGAACTGGAGTTCAGAGCAGTTGGGAGTTTGAGACTCCCTCCCAATTGAAAAAGACAACCGCATCCTCAGCACCAGCCCTCTCCACATGCGCCGTGTCCTCAGCTGCCAGCCCTTTTGGCGTGTGCCTCCATACCTCTGCACTTTACTTCCACACCGCACCTCTTTTGAGTCTCAGTGCTTTTCTCTTTCCTTCTAGTTGTAGAATTTCCACTCAGCTAACCTTCTTGTGGTTCTGGATGATGTCTGTTTTGTCTTTTAGTTGTATTTTTAAAGTGGTTGTGTGAGGCAGCAATTTCCGGTGTTTACTTCTGCCACCATCTTGGTTTTTTCCCTCACTTTGGTAATTTCTTAAAGACAGCAATCTGCTTACTTTCAGGAGACTTGTGAATAATGAGAATAAATAATTCTGTCTGTGGCTTCCTTCAAATGAATCAATGTTTTCAAAGTTTTATATAGATTAAATTCCTTCCAACATTACATCTTTTCCAGCTCATCCCTCAATAAACAGTGTGGCCCTTTTGAAAGATGGGAAAATCAAGTGTGAGTGGATAGCATCCCTAATAAGAGATATTAATCCTTAAGACTCTTATTTATGGGCCTTTAATATGCACTAGCTAATCAACATCCTTACCATTTCTCAAAGATAGCAGTATTTTTACAGCGGGTCTCCTCCATCTGTGTTCTAGGCACCTAACTCATCCCTTATCTCTAACATTTCCAGAAAAATACTCTTAAAAACTATACCTTCTCTTTCCTGTATCTTTAACCGTTCTCATTCAACTGGCTCTTTCCCCTCAGCATATAAATATGCTCTAGTAGTGCACATCTCCTTGACCTTCTTTCATTCATTCAACCCACCATTCACTGAGTCATTCAATAAACATGTCCTATTCTAAGTCTAGCATAGGGTTAAGCCGTAGGCATATAGATTATAGAACAGTGAGGGAGACAGACAAAGACAAATAATTACCTATATATCTATATATCTAAAAGCCTAAGCAACCATTATGACTGAACGACTAGAACGACCTGTTGACCAGTCGCTATGGTGCGTACTGACCACCAGGGGGCAGATGCTCAATGCAGAAGCTTCCCCCTGGTGGTCAGTGTGCTCCCACAGCCAACCTCCTGCAGCTGGCAAACCTCCTGTGGTCTCTTCCCCTGGCATGCCAGTCAGGATGGGCCCCCTTCTGGGCAGTACTGACCAGCCAACCTCCTGCAACCCCTCCCCCCACCCAGTCAGGCCCTGATGGGCCCTGATCGGGGGTGGGGCCGGCTGGCCAACCTCCCATGGTCCCTACCCCCAGCCCTCCCCACCGGGCTGGCCAGTCTGAGGGACCCCACCCATGCACAAATTCGTGTATTGGGCCTCTAGTACAAATATAACAAACTATAGTAAGTGCTCTGAAGGAAAGATACAAGGTATTGTGAAGGCAAATAACAGGAAGACCTGATTTATTCTGGTTGTTTGAACTGAGGTTTGAATTATAACTGGGAGTCAACTGTGGGAGGCTGTTTCAGACAGAGAGAACTCAACATGCAAAGACTTGGATTAAAGGGGAGGAAGACCCCTTCAAGAAACTTCATGTACCTGTATAAGTGGGGTATTGAGTGTAGAGAGCAGGGAGAGATATGTAGGGGCCAGATCATGCAAAGCCTTATAGGACATTATAATAATTGGGGCCTAAGTTTATCTTAAAATGATGGGAATATACAGGGGTGGACAAAAGTAGATTCACAGTTGTGAGTACGTAAAACAGAGTTTATTCTGGTATTATTTATTAAGTATTTTCCATGTAAACAACTGTAAACCTACTTTGGCCAACCCTTGTATTGAAAGAGTTTAATCAGGAGATTGCATGATGAGATTTGTATTTTGAAAAAATGCAGATAGATCCCATTAGAGAAGTGGTTCTCAACCTGTGGGTTGCGACCCCTCTGGGGGTCGAACGACCCTTTCACAGGGGTCGCCTAAGACCATCGGAAAACACATATATAATTACATATTGTTTTTGTGTGATTAATCACTATGCTTTAATTATGTTCAATTTGTAACAGTGAAATTGGGGGTCACCACAACATGAGGAACTGTTTTTAAGGGTCACGGCATTAGGAAGGTTGAAAACCACTGCATTAGAGGAAGGTAAAGTAGGTACAGGTAGAAACTAATTAGCAGGGTATTGCTGTGGTCCAGGAAAGATTGTGCTTCTCCTTGGACTGGGAATGGCAGTGGAGATTAGTAGAAATAAGCTTACTCAAGAGATTTAGCTATAGGATTGTTTTACTCTAACCACTATACTGTACACCTGAAACTAATCCTATATAATAAAATAGAAAAATGGTAATTGGCATACGACCGATACCCTTTTCATTGGCTAATCAGCGAGATATGCAAATTAACTGCCAACTCAGATGGCAGTTAACCACCAAAAAAGATGGCGGCTAATTTGCATATTGCAGGCAGGATGGTACAGCACCATCCAAGAGCGGGTTGGGGGTGTGAGTGCCAGCATCCGCCCGCACTCACGCCCCCAAACCGGATCAATCCCGCAGGCAGACCAGGACGCGAGATG